AAGACCAACTTCGTCCGATTCTCCCCGCTTCTTAGTCTCCTCATCATCATCAACTGACGGTTCGGCCGAGAACGTCTTTTCCAGCATACGATCGGCCGTTGTCGCCGCTAATCTTTCTGGCGTAAAAACATGGGGTATTTCCCCATCTTTAAATATTGTAAATATTTTATGAAATTATTGTGTAGGTCTACAATGTGTATGTAGGTATATATTGAAGGAAAAAAGACCCGATCTACTTCTCACCTACAAAAACTCTTTATAATGAGTCTTTTTTTTAGCACGGTGAAATTTTAGTTGGAAGGAATCCATTTTGAAAATTACGCATCGATGAAGCGGTCTAGAATTTCGAATTTCCCTCTCGCCCAGAGGTTAAATGAAGAAGTGGAGATAATTTGGAGCGGAAAATCAAATTACTTCGGGCAGGGCACCCTCCCGGCGTTTCTAGCATCCGTTCAACTCCGCTTGTTTCGTGGGACACAGTTGCGTTGGAAATTTACTTAGTTAAAATTGTACAAGTTAAAAAATAAAAAAATATAAAAAAGTTGGACCGTACCGTCAAAAAGTTATTTACGACCGCCCTGTGGTAACCCCGTACGCGATTTGAATATTACAGGCTTAGGCAAAGGGTAAGACAAGATAAATAAAATAATAAACTATTCTTCCCGTTGGAGGAACGGCCTTATCCCAACCCTCCAGGGGTAAATGGTGGTAATCAATTCCCCGGCTCCCTTTCGGCCTCAAAACGCTCGGCAAAGCGGGTGCGATATTAGGGAAGAAGTTGTTCAAACATTTAGAACGTGACTTGATGAAGATACTCAGGGGCGGAAGACAATAGGGAGCGGCTTATCTCGTTGACACGTTGATACATAGCCAGCTCAACTGGCCACAATGCGCTTTAATATGATGGAAGCTTTGCACCCCACGGGATTGAGCTCAAACCGAGAAACGCACCCCATGCCTCTTGAAAAACCCATTAAGCTTAAGAACTCATAAGAGGAGCGACTTATGACTTAACCGATTGAAACAATTTTGCTTTCAGTCGTAAATTCTTAAAAATGGCAATGCAACTGGAGAATCTAGTCGAAGAGCAACGTTAGAGAAAATAATAACAGAACAAATTTAAGTTGTTACGTTACAACTTAGTATTCTTCCTAACCCCTCTAAGAGGTATACTCATAAGCAAGTCAATGACACTTCTAGAGCAAGTTTCGAGATTACCTACCTCTGCTCTGGCTATCTACTTAGATGAATCATTAAAATAGCAGGTTGACGTAGTCGTTGTGGCTCGGTTGGCCAACGCGCTGAATGAAGCATTCAAGTAGCTGAAATATAAAATGACCCCATTTTGTAAAAGTTACTGAAGAAAAAACTAAGTACTAAGTAAAGTAAATGTGGATGCTTTTAAGTAGCTGGGGGTGTCCTGACCTCAAAAAAATGAAGTGGCACTCGATATAAGCAGTAGATAAGCAGCAGGAAGCATTAAGGAAGACATTCGGAAAAACAGCCAGTCACCATTCACTGTAGCAGAAGAAAAAAAGAGAAAAATGCTACGGATAATTTTGGGGTCGGTTGTGGGAAACAGCAAACAGGGCCAGTATTGAACGCAGAACTGAAGGAGTTGTACAATAATGAAGGTTTAACTATAAACAAAGCAGACTGGTTGGGCCACCTGTGTAGAGTGGAAGCCGACACAGCTCCTCGTAATGCGTGGCAGGCCATGCGGGAGACCGAACAAGGCTGCACATGGAGAACGACGTACAGAGGCTAAATGTTCGGCAGTGGAAGAGAAAGGCAGCGGATTGGGAGAAACGGCAGAAAATGTTGTAGGCCAAGGTCCTAGCGTCAAGTGACCATGGCTATGACTTAACGGCTAAGGTCAAAAGACAAAAGTAATAAAGCTATAATCGTAAACCCATATTTGTTTAGTGGCCATAACTGACCATATTAATTAATCTATTCTTTTAAGGTTTTTGGTTGAGATGAAAAATTATTGTGTAGTGTGGTTAGTGTTGGTGTCGATGGGATCGAAGTCACGATAGCTCATGTGGTTAGACCAGCGGCGTAGCCGAAGGTCGTTGGTTCGAATCCTGCTCACACTAATTTTTCATCTCAACCAAAAACCTTAGATGAAAAGAATAATTAATTGGTATAATTATAAATTTGACGGTTGGTTTGTTAAACGATCTTTATTAGAGTATACCTCAATAGAGGGGGCCGCGGTAGCCGAGTGGTTAAGTAAGGCGTCAGACTCTCGGCTAGTAGATCCCGCGGTCGTGGGTTCGATCCCCACCGTCGCCTCTGGACTTTTTCTGACGCCTAAGGGGCCCGGTGGCCGCAATTGAAAGAAATGGACACGGCGCTCATCAATGGAAGGAGAGGGATCAGATCTCAGCGACCCTGAATTGGTCCCAACCACTTTCAAAAATGAGTTTCTTCGATGGAAGAACACCTGCAGCACACCGGGGGCTCAAATTCACACTTGTGTAGCGAGCCCCCAAAACATGGAGCCAGGGATAAAGTACAATAAGCTGTACAGCTGCAGTGCTCAAGAGGGAACTCCTCCAGTTCCTGGTTTAAAAAAAATTAACTTACATTTAAACTTAAAAAACTTAAAAAATTAATTAATTTTGCAACAACGTTCGATCTAGTGTAGGTTGTTTGGTCCAAGAGGTTCAATGGTCAGCGGCGTTGAACTATTTATTTACTATAACTACTTACAGAAAGAATCTACAAGAGGAGTAGTCAAAACAAGGCACATAATAACAAAAAGAACCAATGAACAATTAAGCAATAATAACAAAACACAAGGCTTAATGATTCATGGCAAGTAAACATTTTAATTTAACTTTAACTGAATTCAAGGAATCGCGAAATACATCTATTTCATTAGAATAATAATTCAGCAATCTCATTATCCTCGGTAGGGGTGAATTTAGTCCATATTGTGTTTTGTAGTGTGGAACAAAGAACAAATTATGGTTCCTAAGTGGTCGCTGAGGCACACAGCGATAAATGTAACTTCAGGATATCAATGGCCCCATTCCACAATTAACAACCCCAAATGAGATCGGCAAAAATACGGCGGGAGCTAAGCGACTCAAGATTAAGCCAGTTCAGTCTTTCCAAGTAATTCAGGTGTGCAAGACCAAATCTGAAGGCCATTATCCTAGTTGCTTTCTTTTGTACTTTTTCCAAGTCGCTAATCTCACCAACGAAATAAGGGGACCACACGACACTTGCATATTCCAGATGGCTACGAACGAGGGATTGATGTAATATTTTAACTGCCAAGTTGTTTTTAAAATATCTAGAAAACCTAGTAATAAAGCCAAGATTGCGTAGAGCTTTACCTCGAATCTGTTTGATATGGTCACTGAAATCACCCTTTCTGCTGAAAACGACACCGATAAATGTAAGTATATAATGTATGTATTGTACATAAACGTTTGTTAAACCATCTGTATTAGAGTATTTCTCAATAGAACCATATGGATCTAAACCTAAAAATGATAGGCATCAAGTAAAATACGAAAATCAAATTCTACACTTATTCGAACATTTTTCAACTTGGTGCAATCATGACATAAGCAAGACGTAAAGATAGTCATACTATGGCATCATGAAAATCATTGAAAGATTGACAATTATAGTCGAATAATAGCTAACCACAAACTATATTGTAATAGGCCTAATCATTCATTTCTGGGTAACTATACTCTTCCTAGTTAAACAACATGCTTCTGAAGAACTTTGATGATTGATAACTAGCTTCCTGTGGTGCCATAAAGAAGTATAGTGCTGTGGTGAACTAGTGAGCAGGCATCTACATGGTATAGATAAGTCAGTGTCACGAGCGGGATTCGAACCCACGACCTTCGGCTAGATACGCCGCTGCTCTACCACTTGAGCTGTCATGACCTCGATCCACTCGGACACTTCCCATCTCAACCCACCTTTCGAATTTTCCTTCCTTTTTGCCATTTTTCAGTTATATATAACTCTGAACTGTGCATTATGTAGAAATTTTACACGACTGAGGGCACTGTTGAAAAGGAGGGTGGAAAGGTTTATGTGCGATAGCTCAACACCGCTGACCATTGGGCATTTTGGACCAAACAACCTACACTAGATCGAACGTTGTTGCCATATTAATAAAATAGCAATTGTTTAATAAAAATAGAGAATAAGGGACATGTACGGGAGACCTGACATAAGAACAAGAGAGTTATTCTCCAATTTAATTCCTGAAGTATATGTCGTTTATATTCACGTGTACAATTATGTAAAATTTTATGTTTAATCTTTGTTTGTCTTATTGCAAGCGGAATTGTATCGTTAATAATTATTGTTGAAGGTATGACTATAAGACTGAAGAAATTAGAGCCGCGTTGACAGAAATCCAGGTCGTGTGACGAAACCGTGGCCGAAGGGTGGGAGTGGCCGGGTTGGGGATTTAATGAAGACATGTCCTTCCTAGACGGGAGCAGACATGTGGAAGGACTCCCATGGGAAATACCTCACGGGAAAGAGTCCCGGTGTTTCGAATGGCTGGAGGGGGGGGCCCTCGCGGGATTCCATGGCGTCATCCCTCTTCCGACAAATTTCTTTCTCTAAATTCCGCACAAAGGCGGCTATCCCGTGTATAAAACAGAGGCCGGTCCGAGAAAACGGCGGTAATCGTTCCGGGAACAATCTAAACCGGCTCGATCCGTGGCATTTCATGAAGAACCTTTCAACCCCTGCACGAACATATCCAACCTTGCATTATTTATATAAAGAGTAATGGAAACATTATGAATCATCTTCAATCTTGACGTTTTTTATGATTACACCTCGATGAATTCATGTTATCCTGTCTTTTAAAAGCAAATCCTTAAAAATATATCAATACCACCCTTACCGAATACTCAAACCACAAAATCAATCGTACATTGTTCTTTCGCAATAGCCCTTTATTTATTTGTATTTTTTAATTAACTTTATTGATTTTTCTGTTTCAGGTGAGAAGCTACCGAGTGGATTTCCGAGGATAACCCAGTCTCCGACGACCAAGGTGGTTGAGATAGGGCACACGGCCCTCCTCCTATGTTCTGCAACGGGCAACCCCCAGCCGGTCATCCGGTGGGTCAAGGCCAATCTGCCGGTCAAGATTGGCAAAGATCCCCGTTACACGATTCTTACAGATTCTCACGTCCAAGGTAAGCCGTTTAAAAAGTATTCAGTACAATCGAAACTTCAATATTGACAAAATAGCCAGAACTATTTGAGAAAGCAGTGTAACCTTACATTCCTCTGGTGCGCTAAGATAAAAAAAATCCATTGAGTTCGATGCCAGTGGCATTCTATAGTCGAGATGATCAATACCACAATGCAGATAGGATTAAATAAAAGTTATCTACTCTGTATGAAACATTTATCCCTTAAGGGAGTTCCCTTATAGCTAGCATGAGCCTAAAGGACAAGGTCAAGATGTGTTTTGTAGTAGCTCAAGCCAATCCATTCCGGAAAACATTTTCTTTGTTAAACGTTAAGAGTGAGACCAGTGATAGAAATGATGAACGGTGTGCAATCCTTTTAAAAGATAGTTCCTACACAGTAAGTTGTTTTTCAACGATCCGAATTTCGAGCTTTTAGCTCATCATCAGGTTGTACAACTCCTTCAACCTGATGATGAGCTAAAAGCTCAAAATCCGTCTCGTTGGAAAACAACTTACTGTGAGTAGGAACTATCTTTTTAAAAAGGATTGACACCAGTGATTTTATTAAATGTACCGTTGGTCTTAAAAAGCACCCCTACAGGGAAGAGTAACAATGTTAATATGAGTTTAGTACAAGCTCCAGACAGTTCATTGCGGAAAAAGCTATATTTATTGGTAAATGTAAGGGTAAAAATTGTTTTATTAAGTTTATCGTTGGTCTTAACATCATTGCTTGGAAGATGTGGTATTCTGAAGAAACAAGGTCAGAACTGTTATATTTTTGTAGCAGCTCACATCCAAACACTTGCTTTCTATATCGATAAGAATGAAGCCACTAGTTATTGGTTGAAGCGTACCGTTGGTCTTGAGAAGCATCATTGCTCAGAAAAGTTGTAATCTGAAGGAGTAAGGAGCTTTGTGTATTGGTAAATATGAGGGCAGTAGTTGTTTCCTTAAGTACACTGTTAAGAACAGCATTGCCCGGATAGATCGCCTGAAGGAGCAAGGTATGGACTTAGTATGTGGTTAGTAGCAGCTCAAAGGTGTGCAACAACCAGGCAGAACAGCTGACATTGTTAAAGGTTATGGAGTGGTTGACACCTAGAAGAAAATAATAAATTGAAGAACAATTCTCAAGGATGGTCATTAATAAAGCGGTCATTCAATACCGTACTATATTGTATAAGAAATGATACCTGTCAAGAAAGCCCTTGAAGGAAATGAGATGTTTTTATTTGAGCTACAAAAGCTGTACTTACTCAAGATTCAACTTGCTAGAGTTAGAGCACTTGTACAGCTTTCGGGTAATCAATGGGTGGACATACTGGCTAAGCAAGCACAGGATGAGAACGACCCAGTATCTAATTGGAACATCTATGGGCTTATGTTGAAACGGCACTGACCCGCAGACCACACCCAATACCAAATTATTGGTTTTTTTCTCATAAAGGATCACATACAAAAGACCCTCGCAATTATAATGGTAGTCCTCCCTTACCTCTAAGTCACTACAGGTCAGATTGGGTCATAGGAAGAACATGGTTTAGTATAATAGAAATTGTAGGCGACGTTAAATAGGGCGCCCGCTGGTGTGGTCGCGAAATCAATAACGAAAATAATAAAATAAAATACAATTAAATAAACCCCAACACCTGAGGTGACGGGTGTGTAATCCTCGCCAATCTTCTTTTCAGTACCCAGCAATGCAGCACCTTTGGCGTAAACAGAAATCAATGTTTGAATGTGAAAGCATGGTATTTGGGAGTTTCTTGGTGGCGAGAGATGGTGTTTGAGTCAAAAAAAGTGATTTGGTGTTAGATGATAGAGTCAAATCAGTGTTGTTAGATGCTTGATCCGTCTGAATGAGCGAAATAATTTCACTTTTTCTATATACATGATTACTTTTAACTTACTATAAATTGGGTGGGCGACCAAGACCCGAGGGGTTAAATGCCTGGGTAGACTCGTACCCCATCCCTAAAAGGTCCGGGACTTGGTCGGTTTATGTGTCCTGCATAAACCTCTTGGACTTGTTCACAAACCCCAAGATTTTGGACCATTTTATCTCGGGGAGTGATTTGGTGATGTCCTCTCCTTCAAAAGTTTCAAATTTAGACCTAGCGTACCTATCACACTCAGTGAGGTAGTGCTTTGCCGTTTCTTCTTTTATTTCGCAAAAACGGCAAAAATGGATCTGGTAGAATATCCATTACGGAGAGTACAGTAATCAACTCTTTCAATTGAAATTAACTTTCTACACTCACTTTTCCGTTCATGATGATGGCAGGAGATTGACAATTCGAACATTTCAAGCGCGGTTTATATACTTCCGTTCAAGGTTAAGGTTAGATGTAATCGCCGTGAAAAATCTTTAAAACTCCATGACAAATCCGTATAAATACATTTAACGACTTAGTTTGGTTTGGCCTTTATAAATATTTTTTTTGGGATGGATTTTATTAGAAAACATACATGGGGATTTTCAAACCAGAACTGTATATTTTTACCATTTTATCAGTATTCCATTGTTAATTTAAATAGTTAAAACTTGAAAAAAACAAGTCCCATACATATTCAAGGATCCGTTTGACTTTTTTTAAAGCATGTCTCGCGAAGAACCCACCCCATATACTTAACCACTATTAATTTTTATTTTGTATAACGAGTTTTTGACTATTACCGTACCTTACATCCGTGTAGTTTTTGTTCATTTCCAAGATGAACATTAGCTCGACTTGAAAGTTTGAAGTGGAAGGACAAGGTCCACGTTTTATATATATATATATATATATATATATGTATGTATATGTATGTATGTATATGTATATATATAATGCAGGGTGGGCGACCAAGACCCCATCCCTAAAAGGTTCGGGACTTGGTTAGCTCACGTGTCCTGCATAAACCTCTTGAACTAGTTCAAGAACCCCAAGGTTTTGGACCGTTTTATCTCGGGGAGTGATTTGGTGATGTCCGCTCCTTCAAAGATTTCAAATCTAGACCTAGCGTATCTATCACACTCTGCGAGGTAGTGCCTTGCCGTTTCTTTTTTATTTGGCAAAAATGGCAAAAAGGATCTGGTAGAATACCCATTACGGAGAGGTGTCTTCTCAGTGGGCAGTGGCCCGTCAAGATACCTTTCAGTCTCCTAATTCCCTTCCTTGAGTTAGAGAATAGCCATTTCGATTCTGCTGGTTTGATCTCCTTAACAAACTCTTTCGATTGCATGTGTCCGGGGGATAGATTCCATTCCTTAAGGAATTCTTTCATACCCTAGTTTTTAATACTCTCTTTCGCTGTGCTCATATAGTGAGGTAATACCGGTTGTGGCCCGACAACCGCAGTATTAGAGCCTTCTTTGGCCAGGCTATCCGCCTCTTCATTGCCATAGTGTCCTTTATGTCCTGGTATCCAAATAAGGGTTATCTTGTTCTCAAATCTGGAAGAGATTGTATTGATAATTTAACTTACTAGATCCTGAAGCTTTGATCTCTGCAATTTTTTTCCTTTTGTCTTCTTCTCAAATGTCTCAATACTGTGAAACGGATAATTAAGCTATGTTATGAAATAATTAATAGTTGTAGATTCGTAAAGAATTAGTTTTTTCTTGTTCCGATCACTATGAAAAGCTTCAGTTTTTCTTCTTAATGTGTTTTGTTTTAAAATAAAACCAGGAAAGGATCCAAATAGATCAAAACCTACTTTGATCCCGCCTCTTAACCAAGAATAAACGCCCCTTTTGGAAAAAACCGTCTAAATTCTGATGACGGGCTAATTTGTCATTCCGTCGGAGGGATGAAATTTGTCAGAGAAACCTTTGGCCGTGTTTTGATGAAAAAGACGGGGTTATCGACGGGTTTAACCGACATTGTTATTCTTTCATCCTTATTTCCAGTCGCTTCTCATTACAGAAGGCTATTGAAGATATCGGAGTTCCATTCCTAATTATGTACTTTACAAAGAGACTAGCATCTGACGACATTCGGTGATACGTAATGGCTGTTCTTGTACAATTTGTATCGATTTGTATATTTAGCTTGAATAAGTCCTGGGGGATGAAATAGAAGTCCAGTTGATCGGCTGAGATTGTATATGTTTGTTGATATTAGGAGTTATAAGCGAGGAACCGAATCCAGGATCGATTCTGTTATAAAATGTTTCATCATGAAGAGCACCAAAGCCAAAATATAAAATATTGAATAAAAGTGCCTTTTATTGTTAATAGTTTTGTTTTTGCAATTCAACTGTAGCTATCCCAAACCAAACCTAAACAATTCGATTTCGGCTGTAATATAATTTCGCCTTGTCCTCGAAATGATTTCTGATCCGAACCCACCCCATCCCCGGCGGAAAAATGGAAGGATCTTCAATCTAGGTGAAAGTACTAAAGGGAAACCGGCAATAGAAATAAAAAGACAATTGTCATAACGGAGTGTCGACCAATCGAATATCTCGAGGGCAGAGATTGGAAATTGAGTTATCTCCTGCCGACCCCAAAGATTTTCTTCGGCCTTTCACGCCCTTTCCTTTTTTGTTTTTTAATATTCTCCCTCGTTGTCTTGATTCGTTTGAAGCACAAGTGGATGTTTTTACTCTCGTGAATTGATAATAAGAGCAAGAAAGAAACCTTGGGGGTGCCAAGCCCCCCATCCCACAGCAAGACAACATTTCCCCAACTTTACAGAGTTAAGCGATATTTCTAACTTTGCTAAAAGCTCCACCCGCCCCTCGGCCTGTATGGCCATTTTCAGACGTGCGCTAAGAAATTGACGGAAGTTTAGACCTACCCACCCCACCATTACGAGTCATCTCGCCATCACTACAAATACCAAAACTGGCACTTAAAAAACAACAACAAAAGGTACATTGCAGTCATCTTGCTACTCATCCACCATACATACTTTTGGGTGTGGTAAAGCCACTGGCTAACACCACCATGTCAAAACCTTCTCCATCCCCAGTTTGTGTCACAGATATTCTTCAAACGCAAACCCTCGTGG